CACAATGCTGCACATGATATGGCATTAATGTTTTATGAGTTTAAATTAGACTTAAAATTAACGCCCTCTAGGACTATTACGAGGGATGTAAGATTATCGCTTCGAGCTTCGGCGTGATAGATTTCACTTGAATGTTTAAATTTTACAAATATTCTTGATGTATTCATAATTTTATCTAAAGTTATAGCCCAAAACAATTGCACACAATTTGAGGAGGCATTTTGAAAATAGAATCCTCTCCAGTTATGATTTCTTTTTTTGAACATGAGTATCATCTATTGTTCGAGAATAACTCATGTTCGTCTCGTTAAGTAGCTCGTGTTTGGGTCATTCTTTAAAAGAGCTGAACATGAACAAAATTTTTAAGCTCAAATTATAAATGAGCCGAACACGAACAGCCCTTTATTCTCTCTTGTTTTTAGCTCAAAATAAAGAAATTATATACATTATTTATATAATAGATATATTATATATTAATATATATTTATACCTAAGTTTAAATCATAACAGCTCGTGTGGTCATGTGGTTCTGCACATTTTATTGCACAGAGTTGATGCAGGTTTGAATCCAACACATTAATATATATTTATACCTAAGTTTAAATCATAACCGCTCGTGTGGTCATGTGGTTATGCACCTTTTATTTCACAGAGTTGATGCAGGTTTGAATCCAACACCCAACCTCTATTTTTTTCAATTAATTTTAACGAGTCAATTTCGAGTAGAACACGAACAAGAATATTTAAACCTAGTCGAACACGAACACAATGTTCACGAGCCAATTTCGAACGAGCCAGCTTGAGCTAGCTCAAGCTCGGCTCGTTCACAACCCTAGCATCATCAAGATATTTAGAGTGCTCATTGTGTCGCCAATTTGTTTGCTTATTCGTAGCCGATGAGGTTCTTAGTTAGCAAACGATTTGAACTCATCTTGGAAATCTATTATGCTATGAAGCTTGTCAAATCTACTTTCAATGTATCGCTTCATGCAGGCATGATATGGAGAGGTTGCATTTGAATACAAATTTTACCTATTAAGGTCATTGAAGGCTATATGCAAATGCAGATTAAAAATAATTAGATGAACCCCACTAGTACTCAATTACCATTATATGATGATATCAATTTGCTTGATTCGACTGGGACTAGAAAATAAAATTATTTTCTATTTACAATTTGGTTACAACTCCTTGAATAAATATTGCTAAAAATATCAATCTCCCTGGTTTTATTCCTTGATTACAATCCCACCATCTACGTAGAGAACAGGCTATCATGCAGAATGAGAGTTTGAACTCATACAAAAACGAGACTATATAAATTTTACAAAGAATTGCAAGTATCTTGAAACATGATATTTAAATTCAACTTATTTTTATTCCATGTAGCATTAGCTGACTTTAAATTTATATATTAAGCGGATCACATGCAGACAAACTTACTTTCGATATATCTGCACGATTTTTATTGCACCTGCATAATATACTTGTATTATTTTCATAGCACCTACATAAAATACTTATAAAATATTTGATGCATCTACATAAAGCTGTGCATATTTGTTGCACACACAAACAATAGCATAATTTTTTGTACACTTGCACAATGCATTGGAATACCTTTTTGATTCAATTGCATGACGCATTTATGCATTTCCTAAGGTATTTTATAAGTTGTCTGGAGAAACGGATGCATATTCAAATTTTATTGTTCACATGAAATACCATTAGGACAAGTGCAGCATTCAAATTTAAGTTTTATAAAGATCGCATTTTGTCTGTTTGTGTGAACACATTGCAGATCCAGTGGCCGATTTCACGAATTAGAACTTATTAACACATTTTATTGAATTATTAAAAGGTGTGAACCTTTAGATATCTGGGGTCTCTTGTTCAAAGTGATGGTGATATAGATGGGGATGTTATTAGTAGAATTCAAGTTGGTTGGTAAGTTGGTTCAAGTTGGTTGGTCGAAGTGGAGGAATGCTTCGGGCTTATTGTGTGATAGAAAAGTACCTCTTCAACTGAATGGAAAATTTTATAAGATGGTGGTGAGACCTGCAGTGCTCTATGGTGTTGAATGTTGGCCTTTAAAAGAGAAGCATAAAACTAAGCTAAGTGTTGCCGAAATGAGAATGATTAGGTGGATGAATATGAATGCTTCAATGAGCGGCTTGACACTTAAAATGAATATATCTGTGATAGGGTTGGTGTAGCTCCAGTGTCGTCGGGTCACATTAACTGTCGACCATCTGATGATCCGATTAGGAGAGTAGATGTTTTAGATTCGACTTATGTTAAGAAAGGCAGAGGTAGACCTAGAAAAACTTGGGCATATTATATAAAAAATGATATTAATTTATTAAAATTAAAATGAAAATATGACACTAAATAGGAAGCAATGGAGAAAAAGGATTCATGTAGCCGACCCCACTAAATAGGATAAAGATTTGTTGTTGTTGTTGTTGTTGCTGTTGTTGAGAGAGATAAGTTTTTCCTTAGAAAGACATTCAGACTTGTCGGGTGAGACAATCACCCACTTAGATAAGGAACTTTAGATTTTGAAGATTGAGATTATTCTCATTCAAAATGCTTTAGAGTTTTGTGTAAGTACCATCCCTCTGTATTATTTCACCACCCAAAGAATGCGACTTGGTGCAAAGGTCACTAATAATAGACCCCTAAGATGAAATGACTTTTCCCACGTGTTGTACTTCTTTGGTGAGATCACAAGAACAATCTTCGACGTGTATTTCAAACACGGCAATAGCTCTAAATCTTTTGATATCAGAACTTATCCATCACTAGCTCTCCTGCTCAGGCAATCGCCAACTAAAAGCTTCAGCTATATATTGCCAAGAATGATGGGGTTGGCTTAGACCTTTCTCAGTTTGATTGGTTAAAAATAAAAAAAAAATCAATGAAGCTGGTGTTAGAGCTACTCAAAAAATGTAAAGAAGATAGAAAGGATCATAATGGGTGGCGTGGGGTTGCCCGATGGCTTCCCACAAAAAGAGAGAGAATTTGAAAAATAGCAAGGAGTGGCTTTAAAGCATCATGAGCCAGATAACTCCAAGCAGCCTGCAGAAAAGGAAAAAGGATAGCCACGTAACAGTTTAAACTGAAAAATTTCTCTAATAGCAAGAAAGAGAACCAATTCTCATGGGTATAGAGGACACCATATCATATGGTTGTGTATTCAAGGAATTAAATGTAAAAATTAATTAAATTCCAAAATAATACCCCCACTACTCGTGCAAGACCAACTTAGTCTGAAGTTTCACATTTCTCCAATCAAGCCCATGAATTATACAAAATTGATCCAAAATATTTCCTCATATAAAAATTATGACACAATATTAATCTCAATTTAGTCAATCAAAGTTGATTCTAATTTAGCTACCAAGGAATCATTTTTTTTAAATTTATATAGTCGAGAGATTATAATGGAAAAATATAATACTCTTAGACTAAATTTGCTACATACAAATAGTTGGGGGATTATTAGTTTTGAAATAAATGTACCTACACACAACAGTAAATGAAATGAAAAGAATTTAATTTAATGGTAAAAAAACAAACATGGTTTCTTTTAAGTTCAAGATTAAACCATCTCAAAGCTAAGGGGCTGTTTGGGTCACTTTTTATTTTACTTTTATTTTCTTCATATTTTTATTTAAAATGAAACATGTTTGGTATGTTATAACATTAGTTATTTTTAAAAATACTCAAAATAATTACTACAAATTAATTTCTAAAAATTTTTAGAATTATAAAAACAAATTAATTTATTTTTAAAAACAAAAAATAAAAAAAATACAAAAAAAATGCACTGAACTAACATATTTTTCAAATAAAATCAAAAAAGAAAAAAAAACAAAAGTGGTCACTAACAGGTCCTAAGCCTTACTACTGAAGTTTATTTTCAATTAGCTTATTTTTATTAGATTTTATTCCAAATATTCCACTAATACAATCATTCTTTAATTTATCATTCCTAACTTTATCTCATATGCACCTCAATATTCTTAATTTTTTCACGTTCAACTTAAAAATATAGAAGACTTGCACTGCACGATGCTCAAATCCAAATATCGCCAGCCTAATTGCAATTTTATAAAACTTGCACTTGAATCTCCACAATGTCCACTTATTGTACAATGCTCATACTTTTGTACTTTAGCATGCTAATTGAAAATATACACCCTCATAAAAGCTATAGCAGCAGATTTAAAATGAACATTTGGTCCCCCAATCGAACTCAATCACAAATGAACATTTGGTCCCTTGCTACTAAAGTTTATTTTCAATTTGCTTATTTTTGTTAGATTTTATTCCAAGTATTCC